CGCCCCCCCCCCGTGTGACCACCAATTTTAAAAAATAAATGCATTTTAGGAAGAATGAAAAACACAAATAATCAAGAAACTTCCAGAGTACGGGGCCGGGTTCAGTTTGGCGCCCCTAAGGGCAGTCCCGCTCTAGGCGATCGCCTAGTTCGCCTAGTGAGTGAGCCGGCCCTGAGTGCAATGCACACTGGGAGAGTCACTCTTCCTCTATACCTGCACAGAGCTCTGCTCTCCGTGGCTACAGGGTGCACTTACATGGTGGCATGCCATTCGTGACTACCCTGCAGCACTGGCAACTCCCAGCTTTCTGTGGGTTTCTTCCCCCTCCATCTTCATGAATAGGGGACTCAAGTTTGACCATAGTTATTGAGAGCAAGCTGGGAGAAAGGGAAAGGATTTTTTTTTAATGTCAACACTTTGATTTCATTCCAAGATTCAATTGTTCTGGTTCCACTGCTGCTTCTGCATCCACAAAACCAAGGCTGAAGAAAATTATCATGCAGCTTAATCCCTTAGGGAGAAGGAACAGGAGCACAAGACTCTTCTTGTAAAGACTGATATAGGCTGTCTCCTGGACAGTATATTTTTATGAACACTGAGGCACCTGGCCCTCTCTTCTCCCTCCCAGTATGCTTCTGTCCATCACAGAGCACATGCCAGAAGCACTGTAAAAGGCAGAGCCAAGAATAACTTGACTCCACCAAATGCGGTCTTTCAGGAATGGGAAAAGCCACTATTGTTTATGCCTTCTTTTAAAATGTGTCTGTGAGCCATACAGAAATAAGGCATAGTTCTTTTCCTTTACTTTCCTTTGTCCAACAAAAGCAGTATAATGTCTATTTCCCCAAAGACAAAAGGAATACAATTTTTTTTGCAACATCCAAGGTTATATTAGGATTTTGATCTGAGAGTGGGAAGGGGACCACCTTACTGGGGTTAAAATAATTGAAATTCACCACCAACAGCAGAATAAAATGTCATCTTAGATTAGAATATAGAGGGTATTCCAATAAAACATGAGAGATTGAATCTATTTTACTCGGGGAGCAAGACCAAATTCTATCAGAGTAAGGAAGATGTAAAAAGTGGCCTCTCGTAACCACCTGTGAATGGGCATTCATTCTAGCAAGAGTAAAAAACCTTGCGTAGACCTTGCGTAGACCGATGATAAGCATAGGAAGGAAGAGAATCAGAGGCAAGTATTCAAAAAAATTGTGAAGAACAAACTCATTGAGCACGAAGACTAGAACTATTGTAATCAGTCTTCCTAATCTGTAATTGTAATTGCTGGTTCAGAAGGCCCCAATTCCTTGCTAGATTCAGTGGTAAAACCAATAGCCGACAATTTCTTGTCCATGATCCTAAGCCATTATTTTGACTCAGAGAGTTTCTGGCTCTTAAGAAATTGACCAGGTTATGGAAAACTTAAGAATCCCATAATGCATGGATCCAATTAATAGCAGCTGACAGTTTTAATGACAGCTCAGCATTCTGGTCTATTATAAATCAGGTCCTTAAAACTAAGAGTTATATTCCTTCTTGCATTTCTCCAGAGGTTTGGGAAGCATATTTTAAGAGGTTGTTTTCCACTAATAGGATTTTTTTTTGTCATCAGACCATTGGCTATAAATTATTGTTCACCCAACTGGCCAGCTGTTATTCCCTTGGAAATCGAGGTTTTCATAGTTTGCTCAGGAAAAGCCCCTGGTGCAGTGTTCCTTCTAAAGCTGTGCACATGAGTGGCCGCTCATTAACACAGGAAGCCCCACTCAGCAGCAATCTGGAGCCACACAGGGTCTTGCAATACCCATTGTCCATTTTAAGATTACAGCAGTTATATTCTGTTCAGGATGTGAACTGCTCTGCTCAGTAGGGGGGAAAAATTAGAGGGAACATTGCCCTGGTATTGATCTTACTACAAGCAAGTTGCTTAAGATTAATCCATGTTGGTGGGCAGAAATTCTCACTCCCTTGTTTACTCGGATAAACCAAACAGGGGTTATTCCAAAATCATGGAGGGGCACAATAATTGTGTTGTCTGACTCATTCAACCTTGAATGTGGTGTCACACAAGGTTGCCTGGCTCCATATCTGTTTAATTTATACTTAAATGATCTGCCAAGCCATTTTGATCAATTTTGTCATTCTCCTTGTCTAGCACACCATAGTATTCCTATTCTGCAGTATGCAGACAATGCAGTCTTATTATCCTGTAGTCATATTGGTTTACAGAAATCCTTAAAGCTTTTTTTCTGACTACTGTTGCAAAGAAGGCTTGACAGTAAACTGCCAGAAGTCCAAGGTAGTGGTTTTTACTAACAAAAAAAGGAATCATAAAACGTACCATTGGCTCTTGAAGGGGGGGTTGAATTAGAACAAGTTGAAGAATTTTCTTATCTCAGTCTTATTTGCATCTAATCTAAATTGGGCTCCGCATCAAAAGCTGTGAGAAACAAAATCAAACCCTTTATTGGGGGCATTTTGAGTTTCTTTCAAACAAGGGGAAGGAGATATATAGCAAGGGATATTCAAGTTTTTAATCTAAAGGTAATCCCTATTATTTTATATGGGATGGCTATAACAATTAAGGCGGTCACGGAATCAAATGACTTTCCACATTCTTTAGAAAGCTGCTAAATATACCACACTGTATTGCTGGTGTGGTTTTGGTTAGCCATCATTGGAAGCGAATGCATTTAATCTGTGTTTAAAAAGGTAAAGGTTCCCTTGCTCGAAAGCCAGTCAAATCCAACTCTAGGGTTGCGGTGCTCATCTCCGTTTCAAAGCCGAAGAGCCAGCGCTGTCTGAAGACATTTCCGTGGTCATGTGGCTGGCATGACTAAACACCAAGGCGCATGGAACGCTGTTACCTTCCCACCGAAGTGGTACCTATTTATCTACTTGCAATTTGTTGCTTTCGAACTGCTAGGTTGGCAGGAGCTGGAACTAGAGATGGGAGCTCACTCCATCATGCAACACACTCGGGTCTCAAACTGCTGAACTACTGACCTTCCACAGCCTGCAGTTCAGCGTCTTAACCACTTGAGCCACCGCAGCTCAAGTGTTTAGGCATAGTTAAAAACTGCCATGGAAACAGACAAGTGCCACCAGCTTACATTGGGTCAACCACAGTCCATGTTATTTTCAGTGTGTGGCACGTGGCTGACATTCATGCTTTGTTCTACGTTCACTAAGTAAATAACACTGATTCGTGAGGCCCTTCTCCTCAAAAGCTAGCATAGTAATCAAACTACAAATGCCTCAGTTCAAATCTCTCCTCAGCCATAAATTGACTGGTCTTAAGCAAATCCCGTTATCTCAGATTCAACTACCTATTTGCAATACAGGGGACTTCCAAGGGTGTTACAAAGATTGTGAGATTGTCAGGAAGGTGGAGTAATGAGGTTTGGGGACAGCTGAGTCCACACCTGCACTCATTCATTAAATTTGCCAGGTGACTTTGGGCCAGTCACACATTTGCAGCCTGGCACACCTCACAGGATGGCTGATTTAAGAATGGCAGTCCTCAAGTAAAGACATTTCAAAGGGAAATTACAATGTGATATTGCTAAACTTGAATTGATTTACAAGTTCAGAACAAGGGAACCCTCCCCAACTGAACATAGAATTCTTATCTCACTACATATGCTAATTTTTTGCCCCCCAAGCATTTCCTTTCTTCTCTAATCAAGCTGATTACAACATGCATTGAACCTTTGCATCCTTTACAAGCATTCTTGACAACACCCCTCCCACCTTCAGCCTGGAATAAAGCTCTGACCTGGATAGCCCAGCCCAGGCTAGCCCAATACCATCAGATCTCGGAAGCTAGGCAGGGTCAGCCCTGGCGTGACGCAGAGGCAGGGAATGGCAAACCACTTCCGAGATGTCTCTTGCCCTATAAACTAGTCTAGCTTGCCACCAAGTGCTGCATAACACTAAAAGAGCTAGAACTTCTGACTGCCAGACAATCTTAGGATCTTGGCTATACCACACACACACTGCCATACGAATTAATTAATTAATTGGGATAAAAAGACTCAGAGGCCTTGGTCACACGGCAAAGTTGCCGCGGGAGAGGCATGGATGGTGGGCGGATTATCCGGGCGTGATCACACCCCAACATCTGGGAAGTGGAGCGCACCTGTGGCTTACCACCGACAACGCACATTAAAAAAAACTAGTACCTACAAGTACTAGTAAACGTTTGCCACGGGCTGCCTCCAGACGCTCGTGGTGTGATCGCACCAGCGCGCGGCATTCTCCTCTGGTCTGTTTACCCGCCGGCGCCAAGGGGAGGACTTGGGGTGTGCCACCGGCGCATCTGATTGTGTAATCGCGGATCAAACTGCGCCGGGGCAATTAGCCACGCCTCCCTCCCGCAATATCTGGTTCGTGTGACGGCGCCAGAGATCTCCATTTATACTTGACTCCTGTCTGCCAAAGGGAGCTTTGACTTTTGAAAGCTTATGCCCTGAAACTCTCACTGGTCTCCAAGATGCTACTGGACTTAAATCTAACTGTTCACAAGGTTGTTGTCGTGAGAATAGAATGGGGGAAGGAACCAAGTACACTGCCTGAGCTCCTTGGAGAAATGGGCAGGATTAAAAGAAATCTACAAATAAAATGTGTGAAATGCTTTGAACCCTTGAAATTCACTGTGTGTGTTATTATTAGCAATTACGTATTACCAACTAATTTATTCCAGACCAACAAGCATCTATGTGATCTTGGACTGCATTTATTTACTTCATTTGTACCCCATTTTCTCCCCAATGGTGACCCAGAGCCATTTACGATATTCTCCCCTCCTCCACTTTGTCCTCGCAATAACCTTGTGAGGTAAATTAGGCCGAGCAGTAGGACTGGCCCAAGGTCATTCAGCAAGATTCCGTGGCAGTGTGGGAATCTGAACCCTAGTCTGAGATTCTAATTTCATTAATGGAAGTACAGAACAGAAAGAAGATTCTGAAAAGCATGGTTTTTAACCAACAGGCCTGTTTATTGATTGATTCTGCTTCTCCAGAGTTTCAAGCTGCATCAAGAAACACAAATACAAAAAGACTGTTAGTAATTCCATGATGTCTAAAAACAAACTCCCCCCCCCCCCTTTGTGTGGGGAAGCAAAAGCACTGTATTTATTCACTGTCCTTTTCTTTGGGAAACCATTAAGATCCTTCAAAGCCTGATCTCTGAATTCTTTATTTATTTAGATTTATATCCCGCCCTCCCAGCTAAGGCTGGCTCACAAACAGAATAAAACATACACAGCTCCTGAAGTACACAGACGTACAAAAGAAACCACAATCTGCTAGTGTTACAGGCCCACGGAAGTTATGAGGGCACAGCAGCATGTGCTGATGGCAGACAATCACAGCCACAACTATGTGGCAGCTTGGCGTTAAACGTGGAACCATAATGTGGCCAAAAGAATCAGGCCTCGCAGAGATAGGCCTCAGAACTATTTATTTGTAATTGTAGGTCAGGCAATAGTTAAAAAGAGGTATCCTTCTACACTCAAACCGAAGATTTTCATACTGAAATCCCCGTTCTTGGAGACTTAGGTTCCTAGGCCTAGAGATATTTGCAAGCTTCCAGCTGCAATCTCAAGTGGCACAGTTGAGAATGGCTGCTACTGCGTGATTTGCTGGTGGTGGAATAAGAGACCTGATGAGAATTGGGTGGCCTGTCTAAAGTACACAGCCTGGTCTTATATGTGAATAGCCTATAGATGCAGCTACACTGGTGCTAGGAGATACAAGGCATACTACAATAAGGGGATGGCTTTGAAGAGGCAATGTAATAGGACAGACCTTCCCTCTCTTTCCTTGCACAGGAACTGGCTCTAATTCCTGAAAGAACAAGCCCTTCTGAACCCTCACAGCTGGTATTTTTAAGACGAGGGCAAACAGTCTACTGATTTCAATGGCTGTTGACGGGAGTAATTCTCCATAGGACTATGCTGAAAACCTTGAATATCTAAAGTACTGCTACACGTGTAAAGGAATAATGGCTCCCCAAAGAAGCTGCCATTGTTAATGCATAGACTGACATACAGTATCCTGCAGAAATGTCCCTTTTTTGAGTCTTCAAGTTCAAGTGTGCAGTGTACAAGTTACTTTAAAAAGGCACAGTTTTGTTTACAATACAAATGAAAAATAATAACAGTTCCGGCAAAACTAATGAATTAACATTCAACACAGTGCAAGGCCCCACTTTTACAAGTTAATACATTTTTTTTAAAAAAGAAACCTATATAAAAAGTCAGACCTACTCACATACACATCATTTGAAATTTAATAGTCCAAGACTTCGAGGCACATAACAGGACTAGTAACATAAATATGCAAGATAACAAAAGTCAGATGCAATGCTGTATATGCAGTCATTCCTTCCAAAAGAACATTCTTTCCAGTACTAAGAACTGAAAATCTCAGTATGCAACAAGCCCCCATTTATCATAAAAGATACATGCTCCCATCGTTAGGAAACTCATCCTGTAACATAAAGCGAGGAAAAACTCAGTTCTCCCAACTAGGAGAGGTCTCAGCTTCAAACGCTCACTAGCTAGGAACCTATAACAAACAAGGGTGGGTGGGAACCTGACTTTCATTTCTGCTATTTCTGAAAATAAAAGAAAGTGGTTTATGAAAAGATGTCTAAGAACCTAGGCACACCTACTTTTCACTCCTTGATTTTGATTCAGCCTTCACCGAGGGATGCTTAGGCTCACGGTCAAATGCCAAGAGGTTCCTGAGTTTCAAAGGGCGTCCTGTGGTGTTTCTCCCCTCAAATACAAACTATGTTAACCATATGGGGCAGCTACAGAAATAAAGGGAGTTTGTATGTGCACACAAGAGGGGGGGGGCTAGGATTCTAAATTGTAGAAAACTGTAGTATTTGAAGTGAGGTTAAGATGGAAGGAGAGACACAGTGACACTAATACATCACTGAATCCACCGTTCACAACACAGAGTATCAGCATACTATCTGACTTCAACACACTCTACTGAGGTAAACACCAGTCCCTTCTGTAAAGGCTATTTCAGCCAGGCATTTTGAGAAGCTGTGAATTTCAGTTCCTTTTAACATCAAATAGCTTTTATTACTGGGGCCGATTAGGGGACACTTCTGAGATGACAGATTATGCTCATTGTTTGAACGTTGCAGTTTTAGATTTTAGGTCAAGCCCAATGTAAGTAAAAACATGCAGGGGACAGCAAGTCATCCAAATACTGTTCTACTCCCTACTTTCTGAGTTTGAAGGGTTTTTTGAAAATGAGATTGGATGAAGCTTGACAGGTATGATGCAAGTCTAGGAAAATGTATGGTCACATGGAATTGAGGCCTGATGATATATTGGGCTAAACTTATCATGACAGCAACCAGATCTTCAAGTAAGAATAAAGGAACTGTGATGCTCCTCCCAGGACTGAAAAGGAGTACATAACTTCTTGGGCATTATCTGGTGAAATGTAAGGGTGAAATGAACAACTGCCCCTCAAAAAATGCCATGTGGGGCTACCTTCTTGCCTTCTATGCAGAGTAGACTGTTGTGATGACAGGAACCACGCCTTTATCCCTCCAGCCCTTCCACAACAAGGATCATTTCAAATTTTTACCGGTGGGTTTAGATAAGATGGTTCCACTTGTGGTTGAATGCATGGTATGGCACACTTTCAGGAGTTATGATCTGGTTTCCAGGCTTCAAAACAGGAAGCATGGAAAGTTTTTTGCTGTTCTTCGCAGCTGGTAAAGAGAACACACGTTACTACTTCACCCACAAGGCTACTTCACATATTCCTGTGAGGTACCTCCTTTGTGTGTGATATGTGGTAAACCGCTTTGAATCAAAAACTGGAACACAACTGTGTGTGGTGGAGGGGAGTACATGACTCCTACCCTCTCTCCCCTCACACAGAATTGACTCCACATTAGCAGCCCAATGACTTATGGTCCCTCACATTTTAAACAGTTGCGTATGAGGATATACGGTATACACAGGTCACTGCACGTGTAGGGCTGACCCTGAGAAGTTTTTGTAACTACATTTGGACTACAATACAACTGAAGACTTCCTCCTCCATCTTGGTTAAAAACACCGATATAAAAAAAGAACTCATCCATCATTATTAAAAAAAATTCTAAAAAAGTCACACACGGGGGAAAAAACACCCAATCACACAAAGACTACTGTACTGATATGCTTCCAAGCCACAATTAAAATATTTCAAAGGCATTTTGTGATGCGCCGTTACATCAATGTGGGTTACAACCTAATGTAACACCTAGTGTTTGTATAGAAAAAACTGATAATTACCAGCCTAAAATTGCTCTTGCCTTCATTACCTACAAATAGTAATAGAGCAACGTTTAACCAATATTGTTTTTTAAGAAAGAGAAAGGGGGAAAAAAACCATTCCCAATGCCCTCAGTAATTATACTGGCGCTGGCAAGGCTGGTGAACAAACAATCCATGGTTCTTGATTTGCCGAGAGTAGCAATCCCTGGTAAGATTTTGGCGACGGAGGCAGTTTCTGTTCAGATATCGCCGTTCGCTGTGCTCTCTTATCCACTGGGAAGAGCGAAGGCTCTTGGCCCGTTCCAGAAAGCTTGAGTGGGTAGAAAACGATGCGATGTAGCAACGAACATGCTGGCCCAGTTCACTTGGGGCTTCCGTCCTAAAATTCAAAGCACAAGTACTGAGGTTAAGGTGTGACTATTGATTGGATGTTTACAGGGAGGCTGATGTGCAGGGGAGGGGCACAACTGGAAGTTCTGATTATGCTGGGCAGCGGACCCTCTTGGGCTCTGAGGATCAGTGGGGCAGCTTCAGGGCTTGGCACAGAAACAGCTGTTCAAAGCAAAGTTCTGGACAGTGAGAGAGAATCCTCCAAAATACATACTCTCTTCCAGGGCTCTTTTTGTAGAAAAAGTCCAGCAGGAACTCATTAGCATAATAGGCCACACCCAACAGCAGGAACTCATTAGCCTATTGGGCCACACCCCTGACAGCACGGCTCATTAGCACATTAGGCCGCACCCCCATGTTACCAGAAGTGTGGTTATCCAGCCACACCCACCTTTTGCTTGTTATTCTGTTTACCTTGTTTGTTACTCCTTTGCATGTTAGGCCACACACCCCTAATGTAGCCAATCCTAATGAGTTCCTGCTGTTGGGTGTGGCCTATTATGCTAATGAGTTCCTGCTGAGCGTGGCCAACTTGGGAGCCAGCCGGAACTCTGTTCCTGTGCGTTCCTGCCCAAAAATAGCCCTGCCATCCTAAACTACCTCACAGGGCACTTGTGAGAAGAAAAGAGTGTAGGAAGAGCCACAGGGTGAATGGCCACTGGGTGTTCTTCTTTGCACTAAGGTCACTGGGAAACTGATGGCTTCTGTAACAGTCAGAAGCCCATTCCATGTTTTATTTTAGTTCCAGGATACTAGAATCTACAGTACCTCCAGGCCAGGTTTTACTTATGGCTCCCTCTATGTTGGATCTAGGCAAGCTGATGTAAAGGACTGTGGTGAGCCTAATTTTTCTCCCTCATATTTGCTTTTTTTAGGGTTGCCAAGTCACAGACAGCAACCTCCAAGAGCCTTTTGGGGCAGAGACTGGTTTACTGATATCATGCTGGCATACTGACATCACTTCTATCAAAAACCAGAAATGATGTCATGACTTTGGGGGGGCACTCTACGGTTTGCAAAAACGTTATGGTTTTACCACTGAGTTTATAAACCTTAAGAGGGCCTCCCATTTTTCGATAGAAGTGATGTTGCACCAGTGCGTGCATCAAAATTTTTGAGCAATTTCCTCCTGCTGGAGCTTTAGTCACTGGAGGGCAGGAGATCTCTCACCACCAGCAAGAAGCTGGTCATTAAACCTATAGCCCACCCTCCCCACATTGTCGGCTCGGGGCAGGTAACAACATATATGGATCTGTAATTAACGCAGATTTACAATTTTAAAAACATATTACAATAATCAATTTAAAATCCATAAAATCATCATCCTTATTTCACTAAAAACCTCAGCATTAAAACAACAACATGCCTCAATGGCAGATAATGTGGTCCCAGACTGGCTTCCAGGGTCTGCAGTCACGGGGGGGGGGGGGGGGGCGCAGAGTGGAGCAAGTGGTTACGAACTTGTACCAAAATGCAGAAATGCTGAGCCAGCAAGATGCAGTTTTTAGGAGCCTAATTCCTGCAGGGCCCTGATCTCATATGGTAGTTCATTCCACCAGGCAGGGGCCAGGGCCGAAAAAGCCCTGGCCCTAGTTGAGGCAAGTCAGACATCCCTTGGGCCGGGGACTGCCAGGAGATGTTGATTGGCAGAACATAATGTTCTACAGGGCTCATATGGGGAGAGGCGGTCTCGAAGATATGCAGGCCCCTGGCCATATAGGGCTTTAAAGGTAAACACCAATACCTTGAAACGGATCTGGAATTCAATAGGCAGCCAGTGCAGGTCATGCAGCACCGGGCAGATATGTGCCCGCACAGACTGCAACATCAGCGCCCGTGCCGCCGTGTTCTGCACTAGCTGCAATTTCCGGAGCAGGGAAGGCCCACATAGAGAGAATTACAATAATCTAATCTGGAAGTGACCGTTGTGTGGATCATTGCAGCCAGACCGTGGGGGGTGAGATATGGAGCCAAGTGACTGACCTGACTCAGATGAAAAAAGGCAGACCTGGCAGTAGTGGTGACCTGGGCCTCCATAGTCAATGAGGCATCCAGGAACAATCCTAGGCTCTTCACCTTCAGTGCCGGCACCAACGGAGCCCCGTCAAAGGCTGGTAGGCCAATACTCAATCCCAGACCCCCACAACCCAGGTGCAGGACCTCCGTCTTTGTTGGGTTCAGTTTCAGTCTGCTCTGTTGTCGCCATCCAGCCACAGCTTGTAACACCTCATCCAAATGTTCAGAGGCAGAGTCTGGGTGGCCATACATCAGTAGATAGAGCTGGGTGTCATCCGCATAGTGGTGAGAACCCACCAAATACCTCCAAATAATCTGGGCAAAGGGTGCAATATAGATCTTGAATAAAATTGGTGAGCGGACTGCTCCCTGTGGCACCCCACATCTAAGTGAGTGCCACTGAGACAACGCCCCCCCCCCCCAGCAGCACCCTCTGTCCCTGATCTTGGAGAAAGGAGGCCAGCCACTGTAAGGCTAGTCCCCATATCCCTACATCGGCAAGGCAGATATTTCCTGAGTAACTGAATCTTATTTCTACCAACAGACTCACATGACTGGCTCCCACAGGCTCTCTCCATCTGGTCACCATATCTCAAAAAGGACACTGCAGAGCTGGAAAAAGTACAGAGGAGGGCAACCAAGGTGATTAGGGAATTGGAGCACCTTCCCTATGAGGAAAGGCTGAAGAGTCTGAGACTTTTCAGTTTAGAAAAGAGATGACTAAAGGGTGACATGATAGAGGTTTAACAAATTATGCATGGGGTGGAGACAGTTGACAAGAGAAATTGTTCTCCCTCTCTCAAAATACTAGAACACTGGCATCCAATGAAACAGATGGGCAGTAGTTTCAGGACAGACAAAAGGAAATACTACTTTACATAGAGTGATTAAAATGTGGAATTCGCTGCCAGAGGATGCAGTGATGTCCACAGAAATAAAAAGTTTTAAAAGGGGACTGGATTCATGGAGGATGAGTCTATCAATGGCTACTAGCCATAGTGACTGAGGGGAACCTCCACATTCAGAGGCACTAAACCTTTGAATCCCAGAACCAGGAGGTAACATCAGGGGAAGGTCTCAGCCTCTATGCTCTGTTGTTGGCCCTCCAGAGGAACTGGTTGGCCACTGTGTGAGACAGGATGCTGGACTAGATGGACCACTGGTCTGATCCAGCAGGGCTCTTCTTATGTTCTTATGACATAAAAAGTCTCCATTGTGAAGAAACAAGCTCCTTTGAAAACAACTGTGCATAAAATTAGCCTCTTTTTTATTTTATCCTTTATATTTGACACTTGTCCTATCCTGTACTGGGTGTTTGGACTCAGACAAGACGTTTTAATGAAAACGTGTTTCCGTAACAAATTAGGAGGGAACTTTGAATAGCTGGCAGCCATTTCTACTGATGCTTATTTTCTGAAATTATAACACGTTAACTACAGATTTTGGCATTTGGGGCCTTTCTCATTTTTGTAGGCCATGAGGAATTGTTCTTCCATTTCACTCTAGTAATGGTCCCCACAGGTACTCAGTCAATATTAGCATGGCAGGACTTCTCCCCTACTTTGCCTAGAACCGTATAAGCCCTGTGAATTGGCAAGGCATTTCTAGTGCTGAAGACGTCAGATTAACGGGGCTTTATCCTTCCAGGTCAAAGTGCAGGGGCAGGAGGACCCAACAGCTAGGTAAATTACAAGCTCCTGGAGCACAGGGGAGGTCCAGCAGCTATGGACTGATACAGAGGGGGTGCCTTGGCCTTCCCCTCACTGATAGGCCCTCACCAGATGGAAGACGGGCAACAAATACTAAGATCTAGATGGCATGGAATGGCATAGGATTGCTGTATTAGGATTCTCACAATGAAGAGGAGTCTGTGATGTGAGGCGGGTATTCCATTCTGAAGTGGTAGTTTCCTTCTCTCACTAGTAGTACAGGTAGTACATACCTGACCTGCTGTTTCCTAATAGAGTCCCACAGTACCAGGGAGCGTGTGTGTACTAGATGTGACAGATCTAATCTTTCAGCAGTAGGCCTCATTGGATGAACACACATGAAGATGCCTTATACCAAGACAAACCATTCAAGGTCAATATTGTCTACTCTGACTGGGTCTCTGGAAATATATCCTCTGCTACCAGATTCTTTTAACTGGAGACGTGAGAGATTGAACTTTCTACCACTGAGCCATGGCCCCTCTCCAGTACTTTCACTTCCGCATACACAGTGAACCACTTTTTGAGTACCCATCTCCACTGAACTTGTCCAAACGAAGGATTTCACACCCTGCATGTTGTTACCTTCAGCTACCAAGAGGACTTACCTAGGACTGCTTGCATCATGAGGTTCCTCTTCTGCTTCCTCTTCCTCCTCATCACCACAGCTAGCCTTGTTGAGGCTGTGGCAGGTATTATGGACTGCATACACAGACATGCTGGGATGTTCAATCAGAAGGTTCTCCAGCGGGCTGGTTTCCACTTTGATAGCAGTCAGGCCACCAGCAGTGAAACATGGAGGTGGCGTGATAAACCAGCTCTCTTCCATGGGACACGAGTCAAACTGGATAAAGCACGACTCACTGGCATCAGCCAAACTCTCCAAAGAAGTAGGCAGACAAGAGAAGACAGGAGAATGGTCAACAGAGGATGCATCAGGGATGTCACTTTCTTCTTCTTCAACTGTGGAGAAGTTCGTGCAAGTGTCTAGTGAAGGCCATGGAGACAGATGAGAAGTTCAGGTGGGAAAACGTTGATGGAAGTGGCCAGAGATCAGATGGTTTACAAGAAACAACAATGTAGGGTGCAGAAGAGAGAAAGAGAGGGAGAGAAAAGGTATCACCACAATGCACAATCATATGCTACTATAACTACATATTTAGGGATAACAGCATGATAGGCACTGTACAGAATACAGAAATTGTTTCATGCATTTGGATGTTTATACAATTCAAAAGATTTGGGACCGGATCTAAATGTTCCAGACTTCTAGTGGTTGAAGTTCCTCTGGCCACAAGCAAGAGGAAGGCTCCACCATGAAACAGAACTGAACCTCCCTTGTTCCCGGAGTGAAGCCCATCCCCCCGCTCCTTCGAGAAAATGGCCTAGGTTAGCATCTGAACGAGGCAGCCCTTGCCTCAGAGAGTTTATAATCTACACCAGTTGAACAAGATTGGAGAAGAGGAGAAAGAGCTTCCAAGTGTTCAAAGTCCTTCATGTACATTATCTCCCCCACGAGCCTTACAAGGATCCTGCCATGTAGGTTGGTATTATCATAATCTCTGTATTAGAGATGAGGGACGGAGGCCAAGAATGCAGTGGGTTGCGTAAGGCCTCTAGCAAGCCTGCAGCTGAGGAAAGGGCTGAACCAGGGGCTTCCCAAAGCGTAGCTTGGCCTTTTAGCCGCTACCCTATACCAGTTCTCTGAAAGCTAGAAGTCCTTCACTGTCCCAGCTTATGTGTTTTATTCCTTTCTTATACAAACTCACATTTTGCTCACAACCACCCCTGTATATGAAAATCTCTCCTTATTCTTTCGTGCTCTAAAAAAAAAATTACATGTGGGCAGTTATCTTACCTATGAAGTCCACCAGAATCCATTCCTCTTCTTCTTTCTCGCTGAACTCTGGCTCTTGGCTGGGGAAATTATTGATTTCGCCCACAAACATATTATTCAGCCTCTGGAACATTAGTAAGGCAATAAACAAGATTCTGGCAAGGACTTCTTCGTATCCAAGGGTTAAGGTGTAGGGCTCAAGCCAAAGACACAGGTAGGAGATTAAAGTGCAAAGAGGCTTTATCAGCTTAGGCACAGAACACGGGGAGTCATGATTTGTAAACAGTTGCTACAAAACCCTGCAAAGAAGATGGGAAAGTCTTAATGATATATACAGGCAGGCACTCCACATACTACCTGGAAGCAAAATCAGAAGCACCACCAAGTGTACGCTCATGAGGGGTCTGCAGCCATTTCTCCCTTGGCTAAGCACACCTGTATAATGCACATTTATCTCATTCACAGACTACATTTTTAGGGCCATGCCCCAACAATGTTAATGTGTGAACAGGCCCAGGCTAACTAGAGAATGCTCACTCGTCATGTTTATATAAAAGTGTTTTTGCTCATTCAAAATGACACTGTTTTTCACTTGCCCAGAGCAATATGTGCTTCCTCATTGCTCAAACACTAATCTTCTTATCTTTGGCTACTGCTGGTACATGGCCAAGATGTTGTGAATTACTGCCAGATACGCAGCATGATTTCCTCATGTATGCCTGGTACTTTTCTACCCAAGCAAGAAAAAAAAAATTAATCCTTCTTTGAAAGATCTTTGGCTAGAAGCTGGCTAGGTAAGGCGATGATTGTGAAATTCAGCGTGAACTCTGGGTCTACATCAAACAAGAGTTGATCCTCATGATCAGACTCTAGGAGGAAGAGCAGAAGAAAATGCATTTAGTATGAAACCAGAGCCAAGCACTGCTGGATATGAGCACACCACATACACTGGGGTACCAATATCCATGTTCTGACTGTGGTCGAAAGAGCAGTCTGGTGACCCCCGCAGGGTTTTCAAGACAAGAGACAATCAGAGGTGGCTTGCCATTGCCTGCCTCTGCATAGCAACCCTGGACTTCCTTGGTGGTCTCCCATCCAAGTACAAACCGAGGCCAAACCTGCTTAGCTTCTGAAATCTAACAAGATCGGCCCAGACAGGGCCATCCAGGTCAGGACTAGAGCACAACCATCCTCTTCTGCCTCAAGCACCATGAAATGTAGACTCCACAGTCCTAGTTAAGCAAAATATGATGAATTGGATGAAGCCAATAAATACAGTCAGAATCCTTCCCTTTAAGAGTACCATATCACAGCAGAGCCCCTATCTTACGGTGGCCTGCCTCCTCTTCGTCCCATACCAGCAGTGCTTTTATCTTCACAACTGTTTCCTTCCAAATGCTACGGAGTCAAACCCTGTCAAGTGTGCACTCAGTGACAAATCCAAGTCGCCTGTCATGTAATGTACAAAGCAGCCTTAGAGGGGAGAGGGGATGTTATTAAAGCCACAGTTGCAGGGAGCCCATTGTAATCCTAAACACAGTTACAGTCTTCTAAGCCCATTGACTGCAATGAACTCAGAGGGATGTAATGTAACTCTGCTTAAGATTTCATTGTAAATTTTATAGCGAAATGATGCCTCCACACTTTTCTTAATGCGGGTAAGTACAAGTATTAGATGTGCTAGAAAGAGAAGCAAAAACCCCCAACCTGAATGTTCAAGGAGGATTCCTGATTATCTGTGTTATTATTCCTTTACTAGGAGTTGCTGTTGGCAATATAGTAATCTAGGTATGGATATCCTGTGTTCTACTGGAGTATCCTAACATTTTGGAAATTGCTGTATTTTTACCATGTTCCCCCCTTCTTTGTGTAACTTTGACGTTACAATTTCATACATCGGCGACATGAGTGTTACCAGAAGAGGGCAGAGGAGGGCCAGTTTTAAACTACAATTCACACCACCTTTTTTTATCTGCCAGGGCACTGTAGAACAGTCTTCTGCACAAATAACACTGCTTTAAAACAGTGTTTCCCAGCCTCTGGGTTGGGACCCAAAAGTGGGTCACGGGCCAGTCCTCCATAATGGCCACCCCTGCCCTTTCCATTGCTGTCTTTTGTATTTTGGAAACCAAGATCTGAACCTGGAAACCAGGATCTTCCATGTCCTACGTTAGTTGATATTTTCTCTTCACTGCATACACATGTTGATCAAGTAAAATGTGTTTTGATGGTTACCAGAGCAAGTTTCTTAGAATCTTAGGAGGTATTAGAGGGAGAGGCTGGTCAAAGGCTGTGTCTGTCAGAATGCCACTTCCTTGGGGTTCATAGCGGGGGCAGAGCCTGTGTCCTTTGTGTGTTGCTTCTTAAGTTTCTCAAAAGCATCTGGTTGGTCCCTGTAGAATATGGAATGTCGAACTAGATGGGTGCCAAGGTCATAGTTTGCTTAGGGCTCCCCAAATCTTTGGGCCAGCTTTGGACGTGTCATCATACTAAGTAAATTTGGGCTTTGAGAACCACTGCTTTAAAATAATCAGGGAGGTGGTGGCACTGAACTGCCTGCATGCTGATACTGAGGCATGTGGGCGCTCACACTGAGAACATACAGCAGCCAGAGACGTCAGACGTGTAATGACACATTGTAAAGCAAAAAGGTGCAAGTTGGAATGATTTATAATTTTTAGGCTACTGTGTTCAAAAATTCTCATAGGTATTTCAGAATTAAAGGAGGGGGTACATTTCACACTCATGCCCAAAAAGCTAGAATTGCCCGCCGTCAAAAAGAATTTTTTCCTATACTGACTCCACAAGTCACTGTTCTATGCCTCCTGACTAGAAATGAATGTTCTCCTGTCACAGTGGTTTCTCAGTGGAACAGGCTTCCTCAGGAGGGTGCTGGGTCCTCCTTCTTTGGAGGTTTTTAAGCAGACACTAGATGGCCATCCAACCACAATGCTGATTCTGTGAACTTAGGCAGCTCATGAGAGGGAGGGGAGGAGTCAGTGCTTGGATCTTGTGGGCCTTTCTTACACGCCCAGGGTAATGTTGATCAACACATTTGGGATCAGGAAGGAATTTTCCTCCAGGCCAGATTGGAGGTTTTTTGCCTTCCTTTGGGAAGGAGGGTCACTGAGGGGTAGTTGTGAACTTCCTGCATCGTACAGGAGGTTGGACTAGATTACCCTTGAGGTCCCTTCCAGCTCTATATTTCTATGTGTAGCTTTACACAGGGGTTAGCCAGATCCATGGAGGAGAGGTCAAGGGCTGCTAGCCGTGGTGACAGAAGGGAGTCTCCGTGATCAGAGGTTGCTAATCTCTAAATACCAGAGCCAGGAGGCAACATCAGGGTACGACCTTAGCCTCTGTGCCCTACTTGCTGGCTGTCCTGAGCAACTGGTCGGCTGCTGTTTGAAACAGGATGCTAGACTGGCCAGTGGTCTGATCCAACAGGTCTCTTCTTATGAGCTAGCCCACAGTAGTGACTCCTAGAGACAAAAGGCAATCTGAGGAAAGCCAACAACCTATCACCCTGCAACAGGAGCCACTGATGAAATCACATCCAGTGTATGAGTGTCCATCCATCCATCCATCCATCCACCCGCAAAACCACTCCTCCCCAACAGAGGCTGTTCTCAAAAAAGCCAGGCCAACCTCTGAACCCATGCAGAGATGAAGTAGGTAGCTGCTCTGGAAGCAGATGTTTTGGACTGCGGGGAGCCTTCCCTCATTTATTTCTTGACGTACACGGCTTTGGAAATTGCTGTTCTGCCATTGCACGATACGTCTGTTTGCACAACACAGCAATTTTTTTCTTTTGCTTCAGGTCCCAAGCCAATGGAAATTGAAGGCTGAACAAAATGAGTTTGTTCCAGGGAGGAGTACTCCCCCCCCCTTTGCACATGCTGATGGAAGTTCTCAAAACGCACAGCCTCACCTTTCCCAATCATTGCCATACATGGCCTCTCTGAACTCTTGTGTTGATTCTCAGTGATAAAAGGAGTCTTTTTTTCTCCTCCTGCTGTTTGGTCAGCTTCGGGCATGCAACCAGCTGTTGTCATGCTTGCAGGCTCCCTCTCTCATGTGCAGTGCATGACTGAAGGCTTCCAAAACCAGGAAACCTGATTCCAGTTTTTTTCCAAGACAGCCAGATGCAAGGGGGCTGAACCATTTCGAGTTCCCACCAACCAGGACTCTAAAATCCAGAACCCTAGTTCATGTGGGGAGGAGGGGGGAATCAAGCTCCCAACTTGTTTGTTTGAGCCACCTGAATCCAGCCCCAGACACGTTAAAGCAGAGTTGGGAAGAAAAAGGAATGAACCACCCTTACATTTTCACTGTCCACCCCCCACCTCTGCTTCTCCTTACCATTTCGTACTAACAATCTCTGTGAGGTTAGGCTCAGAAAGACAGAGTAAGAATCTCTGCAGAGCTTCATACCCAAATGGGAATTTGAACCCAGATTTCACGGGCCTAAGGCCAACACTTTAGCCTCTGGTACACATCTGGAGAAGCAGTGCCCCTTTATAAATATGCTTTGGATCTCTACAGCTCTTCTTCTGCCTTTCCTTGCCATTAGAACCTCAGCCGCAGAGAGCAGCATCACATCTTTGGGGTACACAAAAGAAGACCAGAAGAGGTAAAGCCATTTATTTAATGCACTGCTCCTGAAATCTTTATCCATTTTTCCAACCTCAAACGCTTCCCCAGTTTTTTAACTCTGGCCCCTCCCACCCTCTAAAAAAGTGCCAGCCCCTGTAAAAAGACACCAATGGAGAAAGATTCTCAGGCTCGGTTGAGTCCCCAGGAGAAAGGACTCTCAAGGACTGTGCCAGCCGTCTGCATGCCTTTCTATATAGAGTGGCCTCCTTTTTAGAGGGACAGGGGCTCCCTGCCTTTCATAGCTGCACGGCAGGCGGAATCTTTCCCCATCCTGGCCACGCAGCTGTTCATTGCTGCCTTCCCTGTAGCAGATACAGACACACGACAGAGACCCTGTCCATAAAAATGGTGGTACAAAGAGAGAGCCCCCGTCTGCAAGAACAGTGGCTGTCCTGTTTCTCATAGGGCTTCATCACACATGAATCAAGATCCGTGTCTGGATCCTCAGGAGTGGCAAACGGCAACCGAAGGGGACCCATGGACATGGGGGAAAGGGAATGCAACTGTTCTCCCCAATGATGTTTCCCTAACCACTGGTTTCCACTTCTGCACTCCTGGTCCTACTGCATTGTTTATTGGAGGTCTTTTCTGTCTGACGAGAGCCAGCGTGGTGTAGTGGTTAGTGTTGGACTAGGACCTGGGGGATCCAGGTTCGAATCCCCACTCGTGCCATGGAAGCTCACTGGGTGACTCTGGGCCAGTCACGCTCTCTTGGCCTAACCTGCCTCGCAGGGCTGTTGTGAGGATAAAATGGAGGAGAGGAGAATAATGTCAAGTCAAGTTTTATTCATATGGTTCATGACCAGCACAAAATCAGTGATGTAAACCACAATGGGTCCCCATTGGGGAGAAAGTGAGGTATAAATGAAAGAAATAAATACATTTGTCAGATTTTGTAATCCACCTTGAGTGTCAGTGGAAAAAGCAAGCTACAAACGAAGGCCCTGGCTAGTATTTGGATGAGACACCTCCAAGGAATAGCAGAGTTGTGACACAAAGGCAGGCAATGGCAACTGTTGTGCATTCAACCTTTGAACGTCTCTTTCCTTGAAAACCCTACAGGGTTGCCATAAGTCACGGGGTTGCCATAAGTCAACGGTGACTTGACAGCACTTTCCTCCACCACCATAAATGAAGTTAATCACTGAGGAAGCCACACACTTAACACATCCACCCTTTCCCACTGCTTCTGCCCTGCTCCATATGCTCCCCCTCCCCCAAGCTGCTTTTCGCAGTTCAGTTCCATGTCTAAGGATCTTCATGTGGACTCCCTCCCAGCATCAGTCATGGTTTGGCTCAAAGGGTCCTTGGTATTCTCACCCATGAGGACAGACAGGCCCATCTCAAAGATGCTGCCATTGGATCAGAGACAGTGTAGTCGGGACACGGTGGAGGAAGCACAGCCTGAATGGTCAGGTGCCCCCAAGGCTCCCCCAGCCCTCGGACATCACTCACAATGGATTCAGACCTTCAGAGAAGCCGATGGTGCAGTCCTCCTACAGCTGTGCCACAGTAAAATTCACATAAAGGGCTATTGTTGAATGCTTCATCCCCCCCACAAACACACAATAAAAACTTCCATACATGCAAAAGACATGTTAGTCACCTGCATGTCTAGAAGGGTTATGGGGGGGGGGGGCTAGCAGAAGGCTAAGGCTTGATCTCCTCTCTCTCTGGCATGTGAACTTTCTGTACTAAGGGATTTACCACCTCGCTGCATGTTTAAACCAGTCTTTAGAAGACCTATTATTATTTCATTTGGAAAAAGACCTGTTGCAGGAATATGAAATAAGAGTATCTTCTGGGTAAACAAGTTTAAAAAAAACAACAACACACCAACCAAGCCTTGTGAACGTTATGTTGTCCAGAATTTCAAATGCAAGGTTAAAAATTTCCACTCGCAAAAATTCTAGGCCAAGTAGTCTCAGAGACTGTACCAGATTAAGCAGTGTATGGGCTTCCAGGTGGGTGACTCAGATTTGGGGGAAATGATGAAAAACAAACACAGAGGAACAATTGCCTAAGAGCACAGACTTGTGCAAAAGTAAATACTTGTGAAATGCAAAAGGATAATTACCCTCTGACTACCATCCTCTCCTGAAGAAAACAAAGAAAAGGTGGCTGGCTGGATGAAAACTCCCTTCCTCCCCCTCCCCCTAACCAACACTGATCATCTGCTAAGAGTCAGGGGAAGGATGGGTGCATCTCCCTGCTGCACAGATGTGGCCATTAGGAGTATCCCACCAAGATCATTAGGTGGCGCAGGAGCCCTGCACGCACACCCCAGCAGCTGGACAGCAGCTTCCACACAAAAAAAGAGATTTCCCCCAGACAACAACATATTTATGCTCCCAGGCCAACTTATTAGTTGACTCAGCAAGACATGTTCCTCTGGCAGCTTCCCAAAAATCATGTCCTTACTCCAACAATTACCTTCATGGATAGCCTCCTCCAGGTCCTCCCATAGCAAGAGATCTCATTCTATGAAAGCAACATTGATTTAATTGTTGCAGGATACAGCAGCTTTCCTTCAAAGCCTCTATCTGAAAGACCGCCTCCGCGCATATGAATTTACCCTCTTTATCCTAAGGCAGGGCTGAGGATTGTCTTCAGCTGGAGGGCTGCACCAGGGCTTCCCCTTCCCCTCATTTTTTAGTAAGACCCACTGACTGAAATGGGAATTCTGTGTAAAGATGCACAGGACTGTATTGCTTCTTTCTTATTCAATGTGGTTTACTTCCAGGCAAGCATGTGTAAGACTGCAGCCTTTGGGCTGAGTTCAACACAAGGCAAAAGGACTTGCATGCAGAGATGGAACCTTCTGCATGTGCCCTTCCCCAGGTGTTGTGCCGGCATGCTAATTAGGCACAGGTGGCTGCTATGCAGGCGCTGCAGCCCAGTTCAAAAGCGGTCCTTGGCTCAGTTGGGGCGCAGAGTCTCACATGCAAGTTCTTTTGCCTCACGTTTTGATTAACCTTAAGCCTGCAGTTTTAGACACACTTACCAAGAAGTAAACCATGCTGAATAAGTTCCTTAATGCACTGTTGCATTATCTTTACCCAGAAGTCACGTTTTAGTCAACGGGGCTTTCTCCTAGAGAAGAGTTCTTAGGACTGACTGCCTGTGTAGTATACTGGGAGGCCCCAGAAATCACTTTTCCAGAGGCACACACTCTCGAGCCTGACCTACCTCATAGGGTTGTTGTGAGGATAAAATGGAGGAGAGGTGAAGGAGGTAAACTGCTTTGGGTCCCCACTCATGAAGTAAATAAATCAATAACTGCAGCCTAGATTAAGCTGGTTAGCCAAGTGAGGCTTGTTTCTAAGTAGGCATGTACAGGATTAGGCTGTACATGGTTTGGAATCACAGGGCCCGGCTTTATTCCCAAAATGTACTGAGTGGTTATAGTCTGATTATATATCTCGGGGGCTCCCATCCCTCCTTGTAAAGCTCTCTACCCCACAACAGAGCGGGCCCATGAGCCAGGTGACCTGGCTTGCCCTGGCCCCATGAGTCACAGCTCCTGTTTTGATCGACAGGGCGGCTCTTCCCTGGGCGGCGCCGCCGCCTGGCTGCTCCACTGAGGTTAGTCACACCTGCAAGAGTGTCCAAGATCCTCCCGGGAAAGAAAGGAGGGGAAAGAGGGAGGGAAACGGAAAGGAGGAGGAGGAAGCCTCGGCACAAAGGCGGTCCCTCGGCGCTGTCACCAAAACAGGATATGCAAAGGAGGCGGCAACCCGATCTCCTGCCAGGCCCCTTGGGCGGATCAGGACCCCTGGCTCCTCCTCGGCCGGCCCCCTCTAGGGGGCGGGCGAGGGCAGACACAAAAGTGGGGTCAAACTGAGAACGCCGCCGGTCGCGGGTGGGCAGGGGAAAGAGAGGCTCCGCAGCAACCACGCGCGCCGCCGCCGCCGCCGCCGCCACTGGGACCCAGCAGAGCCTCGTCCTGTTGCGAGTCGAGGCCAGATCCTGCGCGGGCCGGGGAAGAGAGGGTGGCGGGCGAGCTTGGAAAGAGGGGCTGGGGGGTGAGCTGCGTCCAGCCAGAGAGCGACCTTCGCCCCGCGGTCTCTCGGCAAAGGGACTTTCCCCGGCGGCCAGCCCTGCACGCACCTAGGCAGAGCGACCGTCGTCAAATTCCGCACCCTTCTTCTGTTACAAAGCTATAAACTCTGCGCCTGCGGCTATTATTCTGCACAACAGGGAGACGACGCCGGGATCCGCAAGCGGCTTCACGTCACGGAAACCGAGCCCCGATCCGATTTCGCTGGGTTTAAAATATTTTCCCCTAAAGTTCCATTATTATTATTATTTAAAAAACGGTATTGAAATTGGAAAGGGATTTACTTCCAAGCAACTGGGACCGAAACGGGTGATTGCACTGAAAGTCTTTTCCCACCAGAGTTCTCCCGGAGCAGCCCACTAAAGTAAGCGAGATTACACAGGCGATGACCATAGTCTCGAACTGCAACTCCCAAACGCGTTCACTGGATGTAGCGGGGTTTATGCCTGCGCAAGCATGCTTAGGATAGGGCTGCTGGCAAAACTGCGCCACAACAAGTGGTTTGTGCAATGCAATAGGAAGACGCCTCCGAGCGAACTCGGAGTGGGACCTCCCTTTCAACGGGGATGGGAGTCTCTGCTATTAGACAGGTTTAGCAGCTCCCTAACTTCTTCCTCCTTTATGAACACAACTTAACACAGAGACGAGGCGACTCACAGAAGTTCGTGGAACGGGGGAAAAAACAGGGAGGGGGGAGTCAGGAAGCGACGCTGCCTGGAGCTCCGCCTGTTTCTCCTGCCCGCAGCCGAATATAAAAACACCCAAGTTTATAAAAGGTGGTGATGGAAATCCCCCGCCGGCTCGTCCAACTCGGCAAAGGTGCCCTGGAGAGCCATCCTTTTGGCCGCGCCAGCAGAACATGCCCGGGCACGCGCTGAGCGCAGCGCCGTGCACTTCGGCTTCGCTGTGGCAGGCAACTGCCGGAGTACGGAAGGCAGCGGCGGCGGTAGCCTGTACTCACCTTACTAGACAACCGAACCTGGGCGGCAGCTATTGAGGTAGATGCAGGGAACGAGGCGCCGCTCCCCTAAGCTGTGGCTCCCGGACTCCCCAGGTCCTGTTGCATCGGCCCGTCTGCGCTGGGCGCTGAGTCTTTTGTTGTTATAGAATCCAGCGAACAGCTGATCGGCCGCGGCCGCCCCTGGCCCCGCCCCGCCTCCCTCCTTCCCTCCCGCGGGGGGCCGGGCTAGAGCCCCAGCAGCACCAATGTGAGCCTGGCGGTGCTCGGGACCGCGCCGGGACAGGCTGTCACTAACGCACGTGATCCACAGAGCAAGACGAGAATGCAGCCGGGAGCAAGCCTGGGCAACAAAAGGCGAGAGGGGGAGAGAGAGGAGAGGGGGGGGGAGAGATGAAGCGCAAAGGAAGGGGGGGGGGATGAGGTGCAAAGGAAAAGAACTGGAGTGAAGCAAAGTGTGGAAATGGGAGCGTAAAGGGGACGAGCCAGGAACTGCTAGGCTCTTGTTTATTCCCTCTCTTGCGCTGTTTAAAATAATTCAGCCCCACCGCCCTTTATCCTAAGGCAGGGCTTCGGATACTTCAGAACACACGGAAGTTTCTCTGCATACGCGCATCGCTGAGCTCTTGAGCTTGGTCGCCCGAGACTAGAGCTTGTTTTGTTCACACAGGAATACCGACTTCTTCAACTGTTTTTATGCTTAATAAAATATTAATATTAAAAAAAGGAATTTATGAAATACTATGTGTTTTCCTCGGTACTTCTATAATTTAATTACTTATTATTTATGTCATTTATAGTTCAGCTTCCTCACTGAGACTCAAGGCAGATTACACAGTGTAAGTCAATAAGATGGGACATCCAATAAGTAATAGGGTCAGGATATGGGAATTAAAACCAAGGCGAAAACCTGGAACTAAGCTGAAACAAAGCATAATTATTAACTTGGCAGTCCAGAAATCACATAAAAGAATAATACAGACAGCAACAGATAGTAGGTACTATATACAGTAGTATAGTCTGC